ATACAAACAGAAATGTCTCACACATTTATTCTTTTCTTTGTAAAAATTGCTACTTTATTTTGTTTTTATTGAGAAATAATTGATATATATATTAGTTTCAGGTGCATAACAGTGATTGATATCTGTATACATCATGAAATTATCACAATAAGTCTAGTTAACATCTGTTAACATAGATAGTTAAAAAAATTTTTTTTCTCTTGCTGAGGACTTTTAAGATCTATTATCTCAGCAACTTTCCAGCTATAGTCACCATACTGTATATTACATCTGCATGATACATTTATTTTATAGCCAGAAGGTTGTACCTCTTGACTCCTTTCATCCATTTCTCCCATCCTCCACCCCAGCCCCACCTCTGACAATCAGCAATCTGGTCTCTCTAACTATGGCTTGGTTTTTGTTTGCTTGTTTATTAGATTTCACATACAAGTGAGATCATATGTATTTGTCTTTCTTTGTTTGACTTACTCATTTATCGTAGTGCCCTTCAAGATCCATCCATGTTGTCACAAATGGCAAAATTTCCATCCTTTTTATGGCTGAATAGTATTTGTGTGTGTGTGTGTGTGTACACTTATGTATCTACTTACCACATTTTTATCCATTTAGCCATCTATCTACTTATCCACTTATCCATTTAGGCTGTTTCCAAATCTTGGCTATTGAAAATAATGCTGCAATGAGCATGGGGGTACATAAATTTTTTTGAATTACTGTTTTCATTTCTTTCAGCTAAATATCCAGAAATTAAATTACTAGTCCATATGGTAGTTTTTTGTTTTTGTTTTTGTTTTTTTTGAGGAACCTCCATACTGCTTTCCACAGTGGCTGCACCAGTTTACATCCCCACCAAGGGTTCCTTTTTCTCCACATCCTCGCCAAGACTTGGTATTTCCTGTCTTCTGGATAATAGCCATTCTAAACTGGGATAAGGTGATATCTCACTGTGGTTTGGATTTGTATTTCCCTCATGATTAGGGATGTTGAGCATCTTATTAGGTATCTTGGCCATCTGAACATCTTTTTTGGAAAAATGTCTATTCAAATCCTCTGCCTATTTTTAGTAGGGTTTTTTTTTTTGACATCGAGTTTTGTGAGATTTTTATATATTTTGGATATTAATCCCTTATTAGATATATGATTTGCAAATATTTTCTACCCTAGGTTGTCTTTTCACTTTGTTAATGATATCCTTCACTGTGCAGAAGATTTTTAATTTGATGTAGTCCCACTTGTTTATTTTTGCTTTTGTTTCTTTTGCTTTTGAAGTCAGATCCAAAACATCATCACCAAGACTGATGTCAAGGAACTTAATGCCTATGTTTTCTTATAGGAGTTTTGTGCTTTCAGGTCTTACACTCAAGTCTTTAATCCATTTTAAGTTAATTTTTGTGTATGGTGTAAGATAGTGGTCTAGTTTCATTCTTTTGTGTGTAGCCCTTCAGTTTTCCCAACACCATTTATTGAAGAGACTATCCTTTCCCCAGTGCATATTCCTACATCCTTTGCAATAGCATAGTTGACTACATATATTGAGGTTTATTTCTCACACAAGCTTTTGCTGATGATTATATAATCTTTGGTGATTCAAATGGCAGCATTAAGACGGAGCCACAGCATCACATTGGAAACATTTGTTCTCATTGCCTATGATAATAGTTAAAAATGATGACAAATATTGGTCTAGTGTCTACTAATGCATGAGCAAAACTTTGGAAAGGCTTTTAAAATCAGTCTTTTATGTGAGCATTTTTACTTTCATTTGTGTAAAAAGCATCCGTAGAAAGAAAAAAGTAAACTTCACACACACACAAACATACATAGATACATATATTACTATCTCTCACCAAATCAGATTTTTGTGACTACAGTCTGTATCTTGAAGCTTTTTATATCAAGCTCCTAGCACAGAAGACCAACCCAAAAATGGTACTCAATAAATGTTTATTGAGAGAATAGATAATAAATAGTACTTTATACCATTTCACATACATTGATTAAATTTGTTTAGTTATTCACAGCAACCTTATGATGAAAGTTCAACTGAAAAAATGAAGTTTAGAATATTGGTCATTTTTTTTGAAGAGTATTATGTTTACTAGGGTCCCCCCTTCACCAAATCCCCCCCACAAACCCCATTACAGTACTGTCCATCAGCATAGTAAGATGCTGTAGAATCACTACTTGTCTTCTCTGTGTTGCACAGCCCTCCCCATGCACCCCCCGACATTATACATGCTAATCATAATGCCCCCTTTCTTTTTCCCCACCCTTATCCTTCCCTTCCCTCCCTTTCTCCCCAGTCCCTTTCTGTTTGGTAACTGTTAGTCCATTCTTAGGTTCTATGATTCTGCTGCTGTTTTGTTCCTTCAGTCTTTCTTTGTTCCTATAGTCTTTGGGTTTGAGGTGAGTCTCTTGTAAGCAGCATACAGATGGTTCTTGCTTTTTTATCCATTCTATTATTCTGTCTTTTGATGATGCATTCAGTCCATTTACATTTAGGGTGATTATTGAAAGATATGTACTTATTGCCATTGCAGGCTTTAGATTTGTGGTTGCCAAAGGTTCGAGGTTAGCTTCTTTAGTATCTTACTGTCTAACTTAACTCACTTATTGAGCTATTTTAAACACTGTCTGGTCATTCTTTATTTTTCTCCCTTCTTATGGTTGTTTTATTCTGTGCTCTTTTGTGCTTCCTTTAACTGCTTTTGTGGGTAGTTGATTTTATTTTTTGCCTTTTGTTAGTATTTAGTTGGTCTGCTTTCTTTGCTGTGATTTTATTTTCTCTGGTGACATCTATTTAGTCTTAGAAGTGCTCCCATCTAGAGCAGTCCCTCTAAAATACCCTGCAGAGGTGGTTTGTGGGAGGCAAATTCCCTCAACTTTTGCTTCTCTGGGAACTGTTTAATCCCTCCTTCATATTTAAATGATAGTCATGCTGGATACAGTATTCTTGGTTCCAGGCCCTTCTCTTTCATTGCATTAAATATATCATGCCATTCTCTTCTGGCCTGTAAGGTTTCTGTTGAGAAGTCTGATGATAGCCTGATGAGTTTTCCTTTGTAGGTGACCTTTTTCCTCTCTCTAGCTGCCTTTAAAACTGTCCTTGTCCTTGATCTTTGCCATTTTAATTATTATGTGTCTTGGTGCTGTCCTCTTTGAGTCCTTCTGTTGGGAGTTCTGTACACTTCCATGGTCTGATCAATTATTTCCTCCCCCAGTTTGGGGAAGTTTTCAGCAATTATTTCTTCAAGTACTCTTTCTATCCCTTTCTCTCTCTCTCTTCTTCTTCTGGTACCCCTATAATGTGGATATTGTTCCTTTTGGATTGGTCACAAAGTTCTTTTAATATTGTTTCATTCCTGGAGATCCTTTTATCTCTCTCTGCGTCAGCTTCTATGTGTTACTGTTCTCTGGCTTCTATTCCATCAATGGCCTCTTGCATCTTATCCATTCTGTTTATAAATCCTTCCAGAGATTGTTTCATTTCTGTAATCTCCCTCCGGACTTCATCCCTTAGCTCTTGCATATTTCTCTGCAGCTCCATCAGCATGGTTATGAGCTTTATTTTTAATTCTTTTTCAGGAAGACTGGTTAGGTCTATCTCCTTCTCAGGGTTTGCCTCTGTGATCTTGGTCTGTATGAATTTCTTCTGCCTTTTCATGGCGATACATATATTTGTGGGGAGCTGGCACGTGTGTTGGGTAAGAGAAAGTCCCTTCTTGCCAGTTTATGGTCTTCCTCTCCTGGGAGAACAGCAGCCTCTAGTGGCTTGTGCTGGGCAGCAGCATGCAGATGGGACTTCTGATCTTGCCAGGCTGCTATGGAGTTTATTTAGCTATGCAGTTGCTGTGGGCGTGGCCTGCCTCAGGCTGCTGCTCCAATATGGTGGAGCCGTGTTGGAGGGGGAACAGGCAGGAGGCTGTTTTTTTCATGGTGGTGGGCCTCTGAGCTGCGCTGCAGGGGTATGGGTGCCCAGAGTTCCCCGGAATTCGCAGTTGCTAGGCTAAGTGTCCCAGGGCGCTTCCGTCCAGCTGTGGGGTCCCTGTCCCTTTGAGACTTTCAAAAAGCACTCGCTTTTCTTTGTCCCAGGTGCACCGGCTGCGAGGACCCACTCACAGGTCTTACTGTCCTGTTTCCCTAGTTTCCAGTACCCCATGCATGCACTGTGTGTCTGCGCTCCAGTGCGGATGGCTAAGGCTGGGTGATTAGCAGTCCTGGGCTCCCTCTCCCTGCCCACTCCGACTCCTCTCCTCCTGCCAGGAGCTGGGGTGAGGGGCGCTTGGGTCCCACTGGGCCACGGCTTGTATCTTACCCCCTTTGCAAGGTGCTGGGTTCTCGTGGGTGTGGATGTAGTCCGGCTGTTGTCCTGTGTCTTCTGGTCTCTCTTTTAGGATTAGTTGTATTTGTTGTATTTTCAAAAATATATATGATTTTGGGAGGAGATTGCTGCTGCTCTACCCATGCCGCCATCTTGGTTCTCCAGAATATTGGTCATTTTTACAGTTCTAGTATAATTATGTGGCAGAACCAGAACTGGACTTCTAACTGAATCTTATCTCCTTTCTGCTCCTGGACACTACCTCCCCTCAAATAAGGAAGAAATAAAAGCTTTCAGGGTTTTTTTTCATTGTGATTGTTGTTATTTCAGCAAAATAAGTGTGTTTATAGTGTTCTAGTTCACTCATTCATTTATTTATTCTCTAGCATTTACTTATTTTCTAGTACTGTAAATAATTTTCACTTCACAATGAAACTCTACAATAGTTATTACAATTTGTAATTCCCTATATATGTGTGTATTTGTTTGTTGTATGTCTTTCTTACTAGACTGTAAGTTACACAAGAGCAAGGAGCAGGTAGGTTTAATTACTGAGACCAGCCCAGGGCCTCTTGCATAGTAGGCATTCAGAAAACATGTGTCAACTGTTTGTTGAAAGTCATAGAAATTACTTCCATTCTGTCTTCAGTCTGTGAGCTGTTTACCCTGGTGGTAGGTGGCATTGAGTACATGGCACAGCCAGAACCAGAACCAGGCACCTGGGATTCTGTCCTCATGGACTGACTGATTCTCAGCGCCAGGTAACTGACATTTATTCTCAAATATTAGTTTTTGTCTCATTCAGATGTTGTTTCCAATCGAATCTGACATTTTTGTCCATGACTGACATTTTACATAGGAAAAATGAAGTTTAAAATCCTTCTTGTATTTGGTAGGGGCTTCCTTTAGTTGTTTGAAGCTTTTTTTTTAATTTTGAAAATAAAACACTTGATGCAAAATTCAAACAAATAATATATTTAAAAAAAACTCTTCCACAAACTTGCTCTTTTCCAAGGAAAGCCTCTTTTCACTTCCTTGTAAACCCTTTCAGAAAGGTTTTATTCATTTATTCTTTCATCCTGTGTGTGGATGCATGTGTGTGTGTGTTTGTGTGTGTGTGTCTGCGTGTGTGTGTGCATGTGTATAATGTTATGAGTTATTATCCAAACCAAGACACTTCTGAGGGTGAAAGAGGGACTATCATAATTATGCAGGGACAGCAGCCATAAACCAAGATTGTCCTTGGCAAACCTTGACACATGGTCACCTGACCTTGAAGTATTAACCCTAACGCTGGTGGTGTGCATCAAGAGCATGACCACTGTTTGAGGGCCCAGTTGACTAAACTGTGCAGCTGCTCTGTCCTTATTCTTCAGAGCTTAGTCTATGATGAGATTTTGCTGGTCCCCAGGGAGAAATGAAGAATTAAAATGCAATTACAAGATTTTTTAAAAGCTAAGGTGATTTAGTTAAACAATTTATAATGTGTTTTGAAATTATGCCCTTCCTACTCCTTTTGGTACTTAAATGTCATTTCAAGGGTGTAATAGTTATTCTCTTCTTTTTAAATGTTTTCATTGTTACTTCCAGTTTGCAATTCAATTACAATGAACAATAGACCATTAAAATAGGTCTAACAAAAAGTTTGGAAATGGGTAGTTAAGGGCTGCTGTGAAGGTTCACTGAAGTCATCAATGACCCAGGTTCCTATATTTCTACCCCGCCATCCTTAGCATGTTTCTGCCTCCCTCTGTGGCAGCAAGACATCTGCTGCAGTTCTAGACATCATATTCAAGTTCCAGGCAGAAAGGAAAAGGAAAAGGCCTTCTATTCACAATGCTTAGTTCTTTAAAAATTTGGTAATAGAAGCCCTCTGCAGTGGATGTCTCTATATTTCATTAGGCAAAACTGGGTCACATAACAACTTTTGTGATCACTGACCAGGCAACATCAAGACAGAGAGCTTTTTTTAAAAAAAAAATCTCAGATCATGTCATGCCTCTACTCAAACCTCCAATGATTTCCCCATTGTACTCAACATAAAAGCCAGTTTATTTGGCTCTATATAATCTGACATCTTCGTTGCATTCCCTGTCTGATCTTGTCTCCTATTCTCCCTGTCACTCACTCTGTTCCAAACTCCCTGGCCTCTGTTCTTTGAACACACCCAGCATGCCTCTTCAAGACCTCTGTGCTTGCAGCATCCTCTGCTCCAGATACCAGTATGACTCATTCCCCTTGCACTGAGGCTGTCTCTAACCATTTTATGTAAAGTAACAACCTTCCTCCACCTCAGTCTATCACTTCCTATCTCATCTTGTTTAATATTCTCCCTAGCCCACCATCTGGCATACTCTATTTGCTTGCACATTTAGTAACTGCTCTGTTTGTCTCCTACTAGAATATAAGCTCCTTGTGGACAGAGATTTCTCTTGTTTTGTACACTGCTATATCCCTAATGCTTAGAACGAACTGTGCCTGGCTCACAGTAGGTGTATTAACATTGAATGAATGAATGAATGAATGACCAAACTGGTCTCGAGTTTCATGATTCACCCTAAAGCAGAGGCCTGTCTTTCCTAAGATCAAGATAATCTTCCCTCTCTCACTGAACAAGTCTGACTCTTAGGGAGAAAAAGGCTGCTAAGTAGGTAACAGGCAGTGTTTGCCTCTATGCTCTTACTTGGGAAATAAAAAAGTTGAAAGCCTTCTGTTGGTTCAACCCAATTTAAAAAAAAACAGAATTATGGTATTTAGAAACCTTCTTGGCTACTAACATTATTGCCTGCCTAACTTTTCACCATTACTCTGTCCAATCTACAGGGCTAGTGATCTCAGTTCTCTCCTAGTTGGAGCCCCTCTGGATGCACTGTCATTTCTTAGCTGTCTTCATTGTCTGCCTTAACCCCTGACAGCCTCTACTTCCCAGGCTGCCCTTTGGGTAGCTCCTTCTCCACACTCAATCCCCCCCCACCACTACTCTGGAAAATGGGACCCAACCAATAAGACATTCTTCTCTGTCTTAAATGTAAATTCCCAAGAAGCAAACCATCAACAAATACTACATTAGTAAAAATTGAAACAAAATATATTTGATACTTGAAACACGATACATTAGAAGGCATATGCAATAAAACGGTAGTGAAATAATTTCAAAAGTATTTAAGTATAATTTCTAAAAGATACATTCTCTATTTACTACCAATTCAAATAAAGATTTTAGCCCTTGGTAATCAATTGCTGTTGGAAATATAATTAGATTTAAAATAACACATTCTATATTGGTCTTTTAACCCACACAAATTGTTTTCTGCCTCTGAACTTTACCCCCTGACCCCTACTCCTTCTCCCTGGTCTCTATTATAATTAGCCTAAAATTGTTTCTTTGCAAATGATGATCAAATGTCAGGAAGCTGGTAGAATTTGGAGAGTAGATGTACCCACATCTGAGACTAGTTGGTGGGCTTGTGGATGGGACATAAGAGAGAGGAGGACAGATTCCTCCTGTCCCCTGTGTGTGTGGCACACCTGTTCCTTATTATTAAATGGGAAATCAGGCTCACCACATGTGATAAACCAGCTTGTAATTGGATATTTAATGTGCAGAAGAAATAGTGTCCTCTGAAAAACAGTTTTCTCTTGGCAAGTGGGGCTTTATTTCTGAAATTAAGATTAAGTAACCTCTTATCACCATTTCAACATTGGATTTCAAAACAGACCTGAAAGTATTTTGTACTCATTTGGTCTTAAGATGCTAAACCAATTGATGGTTCTCTCCTCTTCACACCTCTGCTCCATTCCCTGAGTGCATATATGTATGTGTGGACATACAGTCATTAAACAGACAGAAGTGGAGCACTGATTATGTATGAACTGGGCACTAGAGATGGAGATGATAATGTTCAAGACCAATGACATGCCTGTTCTCAGAGAGCTTACATCTGGTGGGAGGGGACAATAAATAACAATCATACAATATATGAATAAGCAGAAAAATATCAGATACACATAGATGCTATACACTAAAGTAGAGCATTAAAACAGGTTGATTTGAGAGCTATTTTACATGGGCTGGTAAGGAATCCCTCTCTGAAGAGGTGTCATTTAAGATGAGATCTAAGTGATAAGAAGTAGCCAGCCATGGAAAGACAGGGAGATCTTCATTCCAGGTAGAAGAAACACCTACGTCAGAGACTCTAAGGTAGATGAAGTGACACACTTGAGGAACAGAAGGGTCAATGGCTTAAGCAGAAAGGAAGAGGAAGATATGCTGGTGAGATGGGCAGGGCCAGGGCTTTCTAAATAAGCCATCTGGTTTTATTCTATTCATTGTGGGAATGTGCTTTTATTTTATTTATCCACTCTATTGTGGATGGGCATTGAGGTGCTTCCAGTGTTAAAACAGAGGATTTTATAATGAAAGGGTGCATGTGTATGCTTCCCTAACTCCTTTTGGATACACATGCACCCTTAACCCCTACCTCACACTATGTTTAGATATTAAGAAAATATATCTAGAGTTTAATAACACATTTTTCCCTTTTAAAAGTAATACATGCTACTTCTTGAAATTTGAAGGAAAAAACTAGAAAGAAGGAAGACATCATCACCCAGTGTGCTATTACTCAGACATGCTGGATACCTCCCTTTGTCCCTGCAAATCTACTTTCTGCCCTTCTTTGCCCTGCTTCAGGTTCTGGGAGCCTCATCTGTATTGGCTGCATTAACAGCCCCCTTATCTTCTGGCTTCCAGTTGGATTTGGCTAATGGGAGGCACCAGCAAGAAACTGAAGGGCAGAGGAGAGAGATGTTGGGGTATTTACACTCTGTTCTGTCCCTGGTAGACCTCCAGGGATTGGCTATATTTCCTTATAAAAGGCCTCAGCTCCTATAAAAGGCCTCACTCCATGCAGTGACTCTCTCTAGATCCTGTCAGTTGCTCTCTTTAAATTCTGACCACACCTTTGTAAATAGTCTCTTTATTAAATGCTCCTCAAAGTACCTAGTCAGAGTATGCCAACCATATCCTGTAGCAAACTGACTGACAGGCCAGAGATAATATTTTCTGTATGTATTTCCAGTAACTAATCCTTATAGTTTGGATAATGCTTTTGTCACTTAATATTACATTTTTCCATATCGTTAAATATTATTTGAAAATATTACTTGCATGGTAATATTAATTCTATTCATGATTTAAGTAATCAGTGATTATTGAATACTTAGATTATTCCCAATTTCTTGCCATTATAAATAATGATGATGAATATCCTTATTTGTATTCCTAATTATTCTGTTTCTAAAGATCTTTCCCTAGTGAGGTCATGAAAATATTCTCCTATGTTATCTTCTAAAAGCTTTATTGTTTTGTCTTTCATATTTAGATCTACAATATAACTGTAGCATATTTTTCTTCCACATAGACACTCAAGTTGTCCAGCACAATTTACTGAAGGGCTAGTGATCTCAGTTTCTTTTCTTCACTGCTCTGGCCCTTTCTCTACTGCTCTGGCAGTAGCTGAGATGGTGCGTGAAGAACAGGTGGGAACAATACAGTGGGGGGCTTACGGAGTGACAAATCTTAAGAGAACTTCCCTTAATGGTGTTGAATTCAGAAGAGGGGACTTTCCTTTTGTTCAGAGTAATAATATAAAGTGAGCTGTTTTATCCCATATATTAAATTGTGGAAATTTCTCATTTTCCTGTTCCAGCTGTTCTACTTCATTGACTACAGCAAGTTAAATATCCAGTTAGCTCAGTA